GACCAGTCGACGGCGAGGAGGCTCGACGGTTCTATTGTACAAAAGGAACAGTACGTTAGTATTGTCGACCCAGGCTAACGCGACTTTTGGGCCCATTCAGGTTATCTTTCTGTCCCCTTTTGGTCCGATATCAAGGCCTCACTTGGGATCGAAGAACGTATACTGGACTCCATGGGATTCATCCACAGATCAGTGCGAGACATATCGCGATTTTTGTCACGTCATTTTTTGGTCAAGGCAAGCGCTTCCCTTGCACAGTCCACCCTGGACTGTCCACTCATTCTCAATTTACGACTCTCGGAGACAGCAGGAGCCCTTACGGTTGCAACCTGCCTCCCGTTGAGTCGTCACCAAACAGCAAGTGTATCCCATCCAAAATTCCATCCCAATAGCAAGTGTATCCCATCCCGAGTCAATAACCAGGGTATCAAAGCCCCGCATAATCCGCTGCCCAATTCAGCCCAGATCGAGTTCCACACCATATGTCCGCTCCATAAACTCCGAACCAAAACGTCGTCCATATATCGAGCCTCAACCCAAATCCTCGTACAACCAAGCAAAATATCATAACAGCCTTCATGGACTCCAAACAGAACGCCACCCATGCCCCATGGAATACCGAGCCCGAAACCAAGTCCCCTACAGGCAAAACCAGCTCCTGCTCCACAAACCCCAAACAAGACACTGTCCATGCCGAGGCAAAGTCTTATCCTCACCCTAAGCATGGAAACCACCAACCCTCCCCGCAAAAGCAATATAAAACGCCGCCCATGCCGAGTCCACAGCCGTGCCCTACATATCTCCTCCTACAAGCAAGGAACCACCCACTCAATACTTCAAACTCCAAACCAAAACGTCTCCCATAATGTACCCAGCCCAACAGCAAGTCCTCCATACAAGCAAAACCCCTAACACAAGCCATGAATGCCATACGAAACGCTACCTATCTACCTTACCTACCTACCTATCTACCTTATCTACCTACCTACCTACCTACCTATATAGCCCCGGACTCCTCCCATACCTACCTCATCCTCCACTGCTTTCATAAACAAAAACGCGTGGATTGCGTTTTCGGTCACCCATCACCATCATCGCTGGCACTCCGGCACAACCTGCTGCCGTCACTCAGCAACACTGACCTATGGCCGCTGCCACCACTCATGATGTCTTCATCTTTGCCTGGCCCTTGGGCTTCTTCGTCTTTCTCTCCTTCCATATCCCCTTGAAAATCGTCCCCCACTTGAGGACGACATCCGAAGGAGGAGGTCGGTTCTTCATGAAGAGGACAAGCGTCCGGTACGAAAGCTCGTCGATGGAGTAGTCCTGCGAGGGACGTCCTCCATCCCTGTAGGGCTCAAGGCAGTCGAACCGAGTTGTGCGCAGGACCATCGTGTTGACGTACGACGATCTTTTCTTGCTGTGCGGCATCTTGGTGGTCTTGACCAAGAAGTTCCTGATCGGGTCGTCGGGGTGCGGCTCAGTTCCTTCGATGGGAAGGAAGTAGGACCTGGCCTGCTTGGCAAGCTCAGGTCCACGATCAGAGCCATTCTCCGGGATTCTCTCCGAGAGATTCAGCCCGCTGAACGAGGTGCAGACCAGGAAGTTAACCGTGCCGTCGTCTTTCACCTGCGGTGACATGATGAGAACGGGATGAGGGACCGTCAGGCCGTCCTGAGGTGTCATCGCCTTCAAGGCCGCGTTGCCAGCCCACAAGATACAACCTGCGAGGTCCTGGTTGCCGCACGTCAGGTCCCTCGAAGGCTGGTGGGTGATATAGTCCTCTTGGTAGAGGGGTGCTACAATTTTGGGTTGTGGTGTCAGCCAGAAAGCTCAGAGATGACCGAGGAAGGCCGGATGAGACCCTTCCAAGAGATTGTTGATGTGTGAAAAGGGGCTGCACCCACCGTACTGGCCGTTGTTGAGAAGGCGGCGCTTGGTAGGTCTCGGGACCTCATCTTTGTCGTTGTCGTGGGCGCGGGGGCGCCTGGTACCCGCCAGTGGGGCAGGGTGGGCAGGGGCAGTCGCGGCTGTGTTGGTTTTGTCGACCTGCTCCGACAACATGTTAGCGATAAAGTCCAGGTCAAAAACGGAGGTGAGGAGAGGGGATTGGGGAGGGAAAGGGGAAGGGGATGGGGAGAATCCTGTTGGAGCCCTTGGGTCCATGATCGTTGGTGAGGTTGCTGGAGATGCCCTTCTTGGGCTGGGAGATGGTGGAGGGGATGGAGAGGCGGTTAACGTGTAACCGGGAGAGAGAGAAAAAAAAAAGCTTGTGGTAGCCGCGAGGCAGAAGTTGAAGAGCTGATGCTGGTGAGCAGAGTAGAAGACAGGATCGTAACAAGCAGAAGTGCGAGTGTTGATTGCGTTTCTGGTGAGAAGAGCAAAAGGAGGGGTTGGAACGAGCAGATCTTGAGATTGAGAATAAGGTACCTCAAAAATTCTTGAGCCGTTACCTGGACAACCCTCAGCAGGAAACGAAACGATAACTGCCCCTGTCCTCGTAATTTACAATGCTGTCGTAATTTCCATCTCTGTACCTTTGTATCTCGGTCTGAAAGTTCGGTATTATATCATCTTCCCACGAGGTCTTCACTTCTTCCTAGAAGGTTGTATTGGCTCCCCAAAAGATATTCATCAGTCACCAAGAGGCCTTCTAGTCTTTAAGTTCAAGATTATAGAAGGCGTAGTGTTCAAGTCAGTTGCTGTAAGCAAGCATGAATTTTACCGTCTCCAAGACCTGGCTTTTTTCACTGCACTTCTAAAGTATTGAATACAGCGCAAGATACAGTACATGCCGGCTGTACTGGAAATCCATTGCTCCAGCGAGTACCGTAATTTAGATTCACATTGAAATTTCTACCTGCACAAATTGAAATCGTTCTCGTTGCCCGAGGCAGCAAACATGACAAACTTTGGTTGGCCAAGGCCCACAGCTGGGAGAAAATGATCTGAAGACGGAAGGCACGCGGAAGAAAGAAAGATAAGCCAGAGCTTCTTGGTGCAGGAAGGATGGGCATCCTGATCGTGGGGGTGCGAGTGTGGGAAGGAAATCACGTTGTGCTCGAAGGACACTTCATCGTTTAGTTGGCTCAACATGAGAACAGACCAAACTAAGGCACGCCTTGGGTTCTCGGGGACATTGTATTCAAAACATTCGAGAAAAGGGCCCATGCCCTTCATCTTAGCCTGTTAACATTGAGTCCCAGAAATCTCATTGCCAAAACTCTTTAACAACTCGCGGCGTTAACTCACAATCATCACACCTTTTGGCGTACGGCGTTACGCACAGACTTCTCATTTCCGACAATTATTCCGCTTCGTCACGTCCAATGGCAGGCACCAAGAGATCAGCTCCGTCGAGGAGCTCTTCACCGGATGGCGGCTTCAATGGGAGGACGCGAATTGGCCATCACGTCGAAGTGAAGGTGCACGGCATCTCACACCAGCGTCAAGATCTGATCCAACTTGAACCACCAGAATTCCGCGCCTCATACAGAAAGAACGGCAAAAACACCGAGAGCCGTCATGACATAACGCCCTCAGTTCTTTCCGGACATGGAACGCCTCACCACCGCCCATACCATCCTCGAAAGACCACCCATCACCACAGTCACGAGCTTCTTTGAGGCACCGACGAGTATCATGGCCCAGTCTCCTGTCATAGCCTTCCTTGTAGCCTTCCTCCCAACTGAGCCCTTGCTGATAGTCCTACCAGCCGCTAGCAGTGCAATGGAAACCAGAACAAGACGGACAATGTGTTGAGGTGAACGGAGTGAACGAAGATGAAGGCATCACGACATCAGGAGTGGTGGTGAACTTGTTGATTGAAGGAGGAGAGAGAAGGAGGACGAAAGAAGGGAGGAGGCCTTCGATATAAGTACAAGTGTGAATCCATGTGAGGATCGATAAGATAAGATAGGATAAGAGATAGCCATCTCATTCATCATCGTTCAACACATTTTTCCGAGCGGACTTGGATGGGTCAACCAGATCGGAATGTATTGAAGATGTGGTTTCGGTGGGTTGGCTGTGAATCAAGACCGGCGTATCACTCTCTTCTGGCGTTTTTGTCGTTGCTGGTTCCTCTCCTTGGGTTATGACGGACACAAGCTTATTGGCGTCACGATCTTGAAGGAAGGAACTCTGAAGTCCATCCCGGTCATTGACCAGTTGCTCCACGAGCTGCTTTCTGGATTTCTCTTCTGCTATCGGCGCCGCGGGAACGTGAAGAAGTCGAGCAGTTGAAAAGCCGGCAAAGACAGCCAGTTTCTGGTACGAGTCTGCGTCCAGGTAGTATCTTGGGTAAGCGCGGTTCGGGTGGACGTAGCAGCTGTACCAGTATGTCCTGAGAGCCATAAATGGAACGGACTTCCTAGACCTCCCGGAACCATCGATATAGGAACGCTCCCTGGGTTTATAAGGCAACATATTGAGCATCACATTCCTCTCCGGCGTATCTGGGTGGGGAGGTGTAGGCTCAATCGGAAGAAATCTAGCCCTCTCCAACATCCCGCGGCGGGTATTCCCAAACATCCTTCTAGCGTCTCTGTTGCGGAAACTTGTCATTTTTGGAAAAAGTCATGTTAGTTCAGGTTATATGCCGCTGGCTAAGGGTAGGTAGAGTGCCAAATCGACGTCGTAAACACGAAGAAGACAAGCAGGAGCCAAGCTTACCCCCAATATTTCGACCTCGTTGTCCTGAGAAACACTCGGTGATAAACACTCGGTGATAAACACTCGGTGATAGCACGACTACCGGATGGTCGTAATACTTGTACCGGTCAGAGAGACCTTGCACCTTGCGGTCTGGTAGGTACATGGTACGTCCTGCGAGACTTTCAGGCTTCCGCTTAACAGGAATAACCTCAGTCGCGGGCTGTAGTTTCTTCTTCGAATTTGCCTCATAGGTCTCAAGCTCGAAATGATGGGCCGTCTCGGTCGACAGGTCGAGACTGTTGATCCAGGTCTCAACGCTTGTACAGGTATTCATTTTGTAGAGTCTCCAGTCAAGACGCGATTTTAAGCTGGTCAACAATTGGTCTTTGTCTAAACAAAAAGTAAAGGAATCACGTTGGCGAGAGGGAATCTGAGAGGAAGTAGATCGGGCAGCGATGGGTTTATGGGAGGTGAGCAACGTTCACTTATCAGCTGCGTGCATGCTGCAGAATCCGTTTTCTTCACTCCCCGCTCTTTGGCTGTTCCATATGCGGGGATTGACGAGTAGGCGGCCGTTGCGGCGGCCTGGCCCAAGCACACAGCCTCCCGAGCTGCGGATAGGCGCCGCCGGGGGCCGCCAATTGCGGTCGCACGGTACGTGACGATGGAAGGGCAGATTGGTTGGCAAAATGTCCGAGGCCAACTGGCAAGACTTCAAGACATCACGGATTGTCAGCGAGATTATTCCATCACATCGTAGATGCTCCAAATGTCCTGAGAAAAATCCATTTTCACCCTCTGTTATTCGAATGACTTGGTCTGATGTGTAGGTCCAGAGTCCAGACTATACCACTTGTCTCCATCCCTACAGCCTGTATCCTGCTTTGTCCACGCGGATGCTCAAGACATGCGGTTCATATCACTCCAGATCCCAAGAGCAACAAGGACTATAAATCCAACCACATACCCCGTCCAACAGACCAGATACCAGAGAAGGAAAGATACCAGTCCAAACAAGCTCTGAAAGCTCCGGAACACCCTTGCCGTCGTCTCAAGCACGGGGAGGATAATTCCAAGACCGTAGTACAAGACCTTTGCCAGCGCCCACAAGTAAATGACGAGAAAGCATGTCCAGAGGACAATGTAGAGGACGTAGAGGAGACGGCCCCATTTCATCATTATCTGCTGCTCTTGTGAATCTACCCCCATCTGGAAACCGCGACTGCTCAAACTGTGTTAGGAAGATCTTCGGCAATGATGTATGGAGGTGTCGAGATGGTGTTCTGGGTGCATACCTCGGATGATGCCATGGCGGCCACGTATTGTTGAAAGATGGTTCGGGATTGTTGCTTTGGCGAGCTCGAGCAGCGTTTTCCTCTTCCTGGGGTGCATGTGTCGGTTCAGGTGGTCTGGGAAGACCATGTTGCCGGCCATAGGTGCGGTTCTGATCGTCCATGCTGTGCGCGTTGTTGATCTTTGTAAATACTGGAGGAAGGAAAGAGGACTGCGGAGATGAGAAACGGAAACCAGGTCAGCTTAAGTATCCGGAAGGACCGAAGGAGTGGGTGCCGGTGACAGTGAATGGAAAGAACAAGGGCAGTGAATGGTCGCTCATACCATGAACTTCCAACACCTTCCCTCCAAATTTGTCAATGCGCTTCAAGGCAAGAGCGACAGACGAAGTTGGCACTAGTTGTTAACAGACGATGATCTTGGTATTTGTTCTTGTGACTGCTATGTGCAATTTCATGTCATCCGCCTCCTCCTCCTCCTCCTCCTCCTCCTCCATCTTCTTCAATCAACAAGTTCACCACCACTCCCGTGCCTCCTATCTACATCCACTCCATTCACTCCGACAAGTGGCTTGGTACCAATCAGACTGCGATTGATGCCCTTGAGATGATCTGGGACCTCACCATCACCATGACCACAACCACCACCACCACTCCTTTGCCTGATCCAGCCACTTGCGGGCTACTGAATCTACGACGTACAGGGCCCGACACTCAGCTTATGAGTGTTTGGTGTTTTCTTGTAATGAGTATACCACGACAGGCGTACACCTGTTAATCAGCTTTGTATGCTAGATTCAG